GGACGAGAACGACTTGCTTCGCCTGCTGCTGCTTGGCTGCCATTTTGGTGTTACACTTGGCTCAGGCAGCATCGGACTGAGCTGCTGCACGGGTTGCGTTGAGGCGCGCAGTCCTTGGCTGCCGTGCGGGTTGCTTTCTGGCTGTCCCTGAGCAACGACTTGTAGGGGGGTGGTTGCGAAAAGCGGCCGGCACGTGTGAAACCCATTATCCTGATGCATGTGTCTCGCGCCCTCCGGAAAGGCCGGCAAACAGAGCTCATCCGGAGGCTGGAAAAGGGGACCGTCCTCATCCTGCATTGCGTTGCTTGGAGTGCATGTGACTTCACGTACGCGTGGCGACTGTTGGACTAGACGATGCGTTGCGGTGAGCGTCGTAGGGGAAGTGGTTTCAGCCAGGAGTGCCGTGGGCTTGAACCCGGAGCATCCGAGGTCCTCTTGTCTAGGCGATCCTGAGCACTGCGGAGATTGACCATACAGCATTGTTTCATCCAGCCGCTGCTGCTGCGCCCCCTCCGCGTGGCTGCGTACTGATGTAGAAGTGACGTGTTTGTGGGATATGCTGCCATTTCCAGCTGTTTCCCAGGCGCTCCGAAGTTGCTCATCACTGCTGGCCCGCGTTGGAGCCCTGCTAGGTGTTACGGGCATCCCTAGTTTGAGACGCTTTTGGAGGACTAGCGGCTGGCATTTGCTGGTACTGCCAACGCTTTCGCGACATACATGGTTTTGCTGAGGCTGGAGCGAAGAAGAGGTAGCCGACAGGTCGGCTGCAGTTCGCGCATCGCATTGGTGATCAAGCGGTGCTGCACCCACATCCAACGACTCCTCATCCCAATTCAGCTTCCGCTGCGGCCCCTTGGCGCGAGAGGAGCTAGCAGACGACTCACCGCTACCTAGGTGCCTTAGCGGTTCCAAAACTATCCCGTCCGGGCTAGCAGACCAGGAGCGGTGTGCCAGCTGCATTAAGGTACTGCCCATAGCTTCGCTGCCAGAAGCGGCCCCTGGGCCCAGCGAATTGGCACCATGGGCAATGCTGTTTGGACGTCCGGCTGCACTGACAAAATAGGTTGGAGCGTCATGAGCCCGGTCGGTACTAATAATAGCGCTGTAGTGACTGCAAGTGGCGGACCGCGAGACACTATCCTGCGAAAACTTCTGGCGCAATTCCGCCTGGATATCCGCCTGCTGGCTGCGTGGCTGCTGCTGGAAGCCGACAGGTTGGATTTGGCTTTCAGCGCTGGCGGCTGCGCTGCGCGCTGTCGCTTCGACGCTCCTGCTGCCGTTTGCAGCCTCGTGGTAGCAGTGCTGGTGATCACGCGGGGCAGCGTCCCACTGCAAAGGGGAGGCAATCATTTGGACAACGAAACAGGAAGACAAACCGTTGCTTGTGCGGAATTTACGACAATTCAAGCGACACACAAGGGAAGGAGCCTGGACGTCGAACGAGCGTTGAAAGAATGGGACATAGGCTCACCATCCAGGCTTCATCAGGTAAGCGCTTTATGTTGCTGAAAGGAAACTCCGCGGACAGGTCAACCGCTTCGGAAAAATCCGACAGCGGGCTCTGCTGACTGGTGAACATCCAGCCAGTTATTGACCCCTGCGGGAAACCCCGCGAAGCGCAGGGCAAAAGAGGACTTGGCAACAGAGGTTCCGGCCAAGACTCAATCCTTGGCTTCTCCATGGTTTCAATCAGGTGCTAAGAATGTGGTAGATGGCATGAGCCGACCCTTTGCTGACTGTGTAAAGCATTCAGGGTTGAAAGCGCTGAAAGGCAAATGAAGTCTCCGCTGCACGGAGGATGGTAAACGTAAATCCCTGCTTCATCACAAAAAGTATAATAACAGTACGTAATTGCTAGGCTGCAGTAAAGGATACCGGTGTATACCTGTTATTTCAAAAAGCCGACCATCGCGAATCGAACAGAACTCCTGGTACAGGCACTGTACGGAAAGCAAAGGACGAGGAATTTTGACCAACTTTCAAACTCTGGTTGCCACACATCACAAAGTCCGACCTTAGAAAAAGATCTGCTAATCTGCGTTGCAGGTCGCCAGAGCATAGGCTACGTAGCTATCTGCCTGTCTCCAATCATGATTTTGGATCCATTTGGATCGCACGTTCCAGGTATGAGACACTCGGCATTAGTCCAGGCCCGTGGCTGCTGACCTCATACCTGAAACCAGCGAACTTGTAACTCAAGGACAAATCCTTCTGTGTAAACAGAAGTCAACATGGGCGATGAGTCGATTTCCTGTTCGATCTATCCACATGTTGGCCATAACTTGTTGGCTCAGGCGCTCCACAGCTGAATTCTTTGCTCAAAGTTTAATATCTGCAGGGTTTGAGCCCGTTATTTTCTCTTGCATGGTGGATGCACCTGTTGTTCTACTTCAGCTGGCGCCAGGTACGCGCTGATGCGCCAACTGTATGCGCGTTGCTTTGTATTTTCATAGCCTTTGCGCTTCCATGCAAGTGGTTTGATGTAAGTGAAGGACCTACAAGCGCGTATCAGTAGGAATACGGTATCAGTCAGCTTATCCCCGCCGTGCAGCCGGTGGTCGCTGTGGAGGCGGAGTCTGTGGTGGCGATGGAACTGGAGGTGGTGATGCTGGTGCCGGCGAAATCGGCTGCGGTGGCGGTCGAGCCGGCGGCGGCAGCGGCAATCAAACCCGTGGCAAGTGTCCCTGAGGACGTCCACGCTTCAACAAGACTGAAGAGCACAAGGCCGCCATGGCGCCCCATGAGGTGAATGGCGTCGAGGTTCCAGTGGCATAGATTGACGCGGTGTCGCAAGTAACAGCGAATAATGAGCGAAGGGCATACATGATGATAAGATTACAAGCCCTGGCCTGGGTGAAACGTGAAGGTATTAGAGCGCTTTGGGTTGGATTTTTTATGCATGCAGTGCCGGCTTCAACCTTTGGCAGTAAAATGTCATGCTGCGCTGCACACTTTGCACTTGGTGTTTGTTTCCTTCTGGTTCGTACTCCAGTGCTGCATTGGGTCTGCACCCCCTCGTAATCCCCTCATACCAACTTGACAGGCAGTTTACCTCGGGTGACAGGTAATGATGAGCCATAGTGTGCCAAGCAGCAGGCAATGCAGGCGACAACGCACATCTGGAAGGCGACATGTGATCAGCAGGAGCGGCTGATCCAACGCCTACAGGCAGACTACCTGAAAACGAGGAGGCCAGAGAGCTGATGGGCAGGGTTGTCGACTCCTTGATCAACTTCTTGAACAATCAGCTGGTACGATGGTGTTTGGCCACTGTTCATGGGTTTGCCCATTTAGCTCTCCACATAATTAAAGACTTCCCTCCTTTTTTGGGGGGCTGCCACAGTCGCCAGCACCATCTGATCCGAGCATTTCCAAAGAATGCACAAGCCCAATGTGCTACTAAAGCCGTGAAGTTCCGCATCAAGGTATGCACTCATGCAGACCTGTGGTTGGCTTGGGTTTGTGGTGTGGCAGGGCCTACCGTACTGCTACGAATCCTTCGCGCCACACCTTTCGTTTTGGGCCACGAAGTGTGTCACAATGGAAAAAGCTCTATGGGGAAAATTTTTTGCTTGTCGCGAATTATTTGCTTGTGGCAGGGCCTCCTGCAGACCTGTGGTTGGCTTGGGTTTGTGGTGTGGCAGGTACAGGAGTGTGCAACAAATTGTGGATGGCACGTCGAATGCCCCCTACCCCAGGCAAAATCCCATCAGAGACAGTCGCAAGGCATAGCACTGCAGCCCTCTGTCCTGAACCGCCACTACACTGTACCCCGGCTTTCCAGTCCGGGCCCTGATGACAGCGTGCCCAACCGTGCTCTGGCTTGGGGCCAGGGACCTGCCAAGCAGGATTGTGGGAGCCCTGGGACACAAACACCTGCAGCCGCCAGAAGACATCGGGACCGCTGCACCAAGCCCTGTTGACTGGTTCTGGGCGGCTGCACTATGGGGAAACCCGCTTCTCTCGAATGCTGGAGTGACTGAGGCAACGGGCCTGGGCCACTGACCAGTCCTGGAGACCTTTGGGTTCCCTTCTGGGAATAAACCTTGTCCCCCTTTGGTCATGATGACGAAGGGGATGAAAAGCTACTTTGTAGTTTAGATCATCCGGACTTATATTTACGGCCGGATTATGAACAGGGCTCGGTGCATGCTAAAGTAGTAGTAGATGCTGTCAACCCAACCTTGACCAGGACTCTATCGGGCCATCAAAGTTGACAACAGCTGCATCACAGCGCCATCCCCAATTCGGATGTAACAGACTGGTGTTCAAAGGGTCCTGCCAGCGGTGATGCCTGTTGTCGCGACAGCCATTCTCCAGTCACTGCATCGGAATGCACGATCGCGCCAACTGTGATGGCTGTGCAGCGACGGACCGAGGCTGTCCGGTTGAGCCGGGCGGGAAGCACTTCCACGCATTGCACTGCTACGGAGCCTGCTGCAGCTGACGCTACTGCGGCCCCGACGACTTCGTGCCGATTGCGGACAGCAGTATTGGCAGTGCACACCTGCGTCCGTGCGAAAGGGCAAGGATGCACTGCTCCAACCCCAGCGAGCGAATGACGTGGTAGAGTTGTCCTTGCACACCTCAAAGACCTTTGCCTGGCTGTAATCCTCACGCGACATATATCTGCAGCTGATGAGCAGCCACAGCAGCATGGCTGGCGCAGCACAGTGGCTCCAACGGGCCCCGAAGCAACTCATAAGGAAAGATCGGTATTTAGCCTGGTGGAACGTCGGTATTGTCCAGGTCCACGACGCTGAGTCCATCGCTGGGGATCACTGTGTGCGCTGTCGGAGGATCTTACCCTACCAAAGGCATTTTCCTCCTCAATTTCTGCATACATGATGTAATCAATAAGCCGGTAGTGAAAACACTTGGTGCGCGCATGGATTGTGTTTTGAGTACATCGTACTGTAGTAGTGTAAATCCGCGACCACACACATGATCCATGGTTCATTTAGCTTTTCGTGTCGCAGCCTAGTCTTTCACACGCAAATGAGAAGCGTACGAGTTCATGATGAAACACCGGCAACGCAGTGTTAATATCAGCTTGTCGGTGTCCTGGTTCCTCAAGCTTACACGCCGTAGTTGACGCCTGTAAACGTCTTTGTGCAACATGTTTTCCTTGTCCGGCTTAACTCCTCGGCATTCCGGTGTGAGACCCTCAGCGCATCGGAAAGCAGCCCAATCCTTCATAACCCTACCTAACGCACGGCGCATAATATTAAAAGCAGCACCTGCGCCCCTCAACGAAACCCGTGCGGAAGAGCTGGCGCTTCCTGATGGGGATGTAAGCATTGAGGCAGATGCTGTCCTCCTACGCGAAGCTGAAGCCCAGCGACAGGCCTTCATCATGCAGGATACATGCAGGCAGGTCGCTAGCACTGTGAATCGGATGTAACCGCGACGAAACCTTTACTCGGTTTCTGTCGTGCATCTGCCAGCATCGACGCCACGCCTTGTTACCCGGTCTGCATCTTTTGCAACCTTCTTTGACCGGTGGTAAAGCTCAAAGTAGATGACATGATGGCAGAAACCTGCTCAGATGAAGTGAACAGGTCTCGTGCGGTTCAATCTTTGGGACGATCACCCGGCACCCCGCTTCCCCGTCAACTTATGTTGGTAACACACCTTGTTGACCTCTGAATTATATGTCGGACTTTGGCAGTGTTCAGGGACCTCCGAAGCACGCAGTACTTTCCGTCATCCTGTCGCCTGTGTGAACTCCCCGAAACTTTCCTCCCCTATTTGCCCTTGGCTTTATCGCACCTCGCTCGGCCGGTCCTGACCTATTCGTCATGCGTACCGCTGAAACAGCTTCCTGGCTTCTGACCTGAAGATGCTCTTTGAAAAAGGGGTAAGTGCACAGGGAGGTAGAGCTGAAGGGCGCAAGGAAGGGTCAGGGGGTTCCATGGGGCTCACAGCAAGTGGTTCCTGGGATTTCGGTATTAGGGTTTAGAAGGCCAGGTGAAGGATAACAATGATGATGACGGGACTGGGAACGCATCTAGGTGTTGGATGACGGGCTTAAACCCCAAAACGAGACGGGCTGCGAAAAAGACCATTACCCGGGAGCCGTGGTATCTATTTGTTAGGGGCTCATGTACGCGGGGAATGAGGGCTGGGGTATCGGAGTAGTGCCAAATGGGGGCTTAGCGGAAGGGGATAAGGGGATAAGGGTGGCGGTTGCACATGGAGGCGCGACTGGTGTTGGGGAGAAGCTAATAGTGGGATGGGTGGGCAGCTGGTGTATGCGTGCGGAGGGGACAGCAGAGAGTGCTCTGGTCTGGGAGGCGCGGAGGAGAACATTCGGCTGCCAGTCTTTCCTAGCTAGTGAGTTAAGTGGGGAAGAGGATCCAGTCGCTGCCCCACTTGAAAAGGCATGAGGTGAGGTGAGGTCAGGCAACCGAATGCTAGGCGGCTCATCTCACCTTGGATGATGCCGCCACATCGCACTGCACTGCACAATTAACTACAACACAACAGGAGTCAAAACGCAACGCAACCCCGCCATGTGCTACGCCATGTCACTTGCAGGAGATCACGGAGTCGCGTTACTCTCCCAAGATTGTATTCGAGGACCCCATCACCAAGTACGACAGCCGAGAGGGCTATGGTAAGAGGGCGCAAATGCACACGGCCCCCCCGCCCTCACTACCACTTCCCCCACACCAACCTTTCCCCCTCTTTGGTCCCCCCGCCCTCGGCCCCCTGCCCATGCCCTGCCTCGCCGCCACAGTGTTTAATATCCGGCTGCTGCGCACCCTGTTCAACATCACCTTCGACCTGCACAGCATCTCCGTGACTGGCCCCGACTCCGTCACCGCCCGCTGGACCATGGAGATGGTGATGTGGCTGCTGCCCTGGAGACCCAACCTCACCTTCACGGGGAGGACGGTCTACAAGGTGTGGGCGCTTACGTACCTGGCTGCGGGGTTGGGAAGGGGGATAAGGTCGCGAAAGAGTGGGTGGGTGGGTGGGTGGGTGAGGGAGGGGGGTTGGGTGAGCAAGGACGGAGGAGGAGGGTGGCAACGGGTTGGTGGGAGGTTGGGAAGGAGGACGAGGGGTGGCCTGGCGGGTAACCAAGTTTTCCCACCAGTGGATTTGGGTCGGGCTGGGTGGTGTGGGGTGGCAGCACCGGAGCCACCACGGCTATCAGTCCCATATCCGTCGTAACGTAGCGCCTTCAAACTTCCCTTTCCCGGCCCCCAAGCAAACCCCTCCACACTCTCCTCCACCTCCCCTCCCCAGGTGGACCCCCGCACGGGTATCGTACTGAGCCACACCGACTACTGGGATGCGCTGCAGAGGAACGCGTGAGTCATCAGAGCAGAGCAGATCACGGGATGGGCACCCTCGCGCTCGAGAGGGCGGAGAGGGTGGCCCCTTCCCTGCAGCGTCCTGTGGTGCTGACAACCCGTCAACCAGTTTACCCTCAACACGGGGTTAGAGGCTCCTGTGTACTTCCGGGGGAGCGTGTTGGGCACGGGGGTGCCGTACCGCCGCCATTCTCCACGCCCGCATCTCGAATCGCACTTTTGGGTTTGAATCCGTTTGTTGTATGCCCTCTCCCCTTCCCCCTTCCCCCTTCCCCCTTTTGTCCCCTCCCCTTTTTTTATTTTCTCCTCTGTCCCAATACACACCGCACTGCAGCTTTCTCAGTCTAGAGGGTGTCCAACACACGCTTCAGATGTTCATTCAGCAGCAATTGCAGCTCACACCCGGCATTGAGACGCCCAAATACGTGGTGCTCAAGAAACTCAAGGTGCGGCGGGTCCTATGGGGTCACATAGCGTGCGAACAGCTCTGTCTTGTGGAAGCACTCCCATCTCGTTGATGTAACAGTAGTAATAGAAACAGTTATGATTGTGGTTATTGTAGCGGAAGTACTCACCATGCGCTTTACGCGATATGGAAGGTCAATAATAAGCGGAATGCAGGCCAGGAGCACACAGACATGCACATACACGTGCACACAGACATGCACATACACGCGCACCACCGGACACTGCCAAGGTAGTTGCTCGCCAACCTGCGCGGCCCCTGCCTGGCCCCCTTCATCACCGCCATCCCTAAGATGCATGCCAGTTTGCAATTTGCCCGGCACTGAAGCTTCCCTCCCCCGCGTCGTCATCATCACCATCCGTACTGCATTTTCATTTCCCGCCGCTCCTCTCCCACGTGGCACCCGGTTTGTTCACCAATATGTCTGTCTGTGTGTCTGTCTGTCGGTCGATCTATCTATCAAGGAGTACGAGATCCGGCGCTACGAGCCGTACCTGGTGGCGGAGGCCCCCACAGGCCCGGGGTCGGGTCCCGCCAGTGGCTCGGGCTTCTCGGAGCTGGCCAGCTACCTGTTCGGGAGCAATAGGGCCCAACTGGCCATGGAGATGACCACCCCGGTGTTCAACGAGGTGCAGCCGGAAACCAACTCCAGTGTGGCCATGAAGTTCGTCATGGAGAGCAGGTGAAAAGGGGGGGAAGGCAGGGGAAAAACAGCGCCGTGTTTGCGTCTCCTGTGGGGCCGGGGCCAAGAAGAGGCTTGAGAGGGAAACTTCACCATTCAGCCGTTTCTTAGCCCCAAGCCCAGGGGGCCGATCACACCCGGGCGCATGCGTGCCCATGCTCACAGTGGCCAAGCTTCGAGGCCCTGGCTCGTACGTGGCCAGGCTCTCTTAGCTCTCTAGGCTCGTCCTCACTGGGCTTCACGCGGGGCTGCATGCTAGCAGATGCGGCCGCTCACCACCACCGCTTGACGTGATAGGCTGATGTCGTGTGCGCACGTGCACGTGCATGTGTATGTGTATGTGTATGTGTATTTCGCGTTACTACTGTGTGTGTTGCATTCTCCACCCCCGCCCTTGGTTGTTGGGCGATTATCGGCCTAACCCCCCTTCCCCGCCTGCAGGTATTCCGATGTTTCCGCCCTACCCGCCCCCCTGGACCCCCGCATTGGGCGCAAGAGGGAGGAGGGGAGGTACGCCGCGGCCATCCGCTTCTCAGGCTGGCCACTGGACTACGAGGTGGGGGTTCATGCAGAAGGGGGACCGTGGACTTAAGAGGGGCTGGTGCTTTTTGGAGGGAAGATGATACCGGCCCATAGCGGCTTCGGTACCTCAAGGGTATTGAGTAGTGAGTGGTGAGGGCCATAGGGCGAGGCGGCCCCTAGGGCGAGGGGTCAGTTTCTTACCACCGAGCTACGCGGCCACACGTCCTTTTAGGTTTGAATCCTCGACTCGCCGTTTTGCTGTGTGCATTACACATTACACATTACACATGAAGCGAAGGGGGTTGTGCGGCTCAACGTTCGCTAGCTCGCCAAATTCCACAATCCTCCGTGTACAATCCCCCCCTTGACGGTCTCCCTCTCCCGAGCAATCCCCCTAGGTGTCCCCCCCTTAGGTGCAGGAAGTTGGGCAGACCAATCCTGCAACGCGTTGTATGTGTGTCCCGTGTGTATTTGCACAGGTGGTTCAAAACGAGCGGCTGCTCCGAGACCTGCTTCTCCGCGATGGCCTCCGTCCCGCCCCCGGCTACCAGCTGGCCCGGTACAACGACCCCTCCACACCGCCCATGCTGAGGCGCAACGAGGTGCTCATCCGCCTGGATGACTTTGTCTGGCCGCCGGAGACGGAGATGAGCACGTAAGGGGCGGGGGAGGGGGGGATGACAACCACGGTGAGCAACCAATAATGGGAGCAGGAGCAGGTTGGTGCAGTGCGGACACACGTGCAGCAGATACTCTTGTGTACTACCACGTCTAAAGCAGCAACAGCAGCAGGAGGGGTGATAACGGCAGCAGAAGCATCAGCAGCAGTGGCGAGAGCAGCAGCAGATGCAGGGGGGGAGGGAGATTTCGTTTTGAAGTGTGGATTTTAGCTAGGGAAGAGACTAGCGCCTTTACGTGCGTGTTGGAGAGAGAGAGAGAGTGATAACTGCGGGGAATGTAGCAGTAAAACACAAGTACCTATTCCTTCAGATGCGCTTGCCGGATTTTGCTTTGGGGTCTCCGCGTATTTGTCCGCAAGGGCGGCAATCCAGATCGCTCCAGGTGGGGTTGGGTGCCAATGCCATGTGGAGGAGCCGAGGAGGACAGCAGTCAAGGAAAGCTCAAGGAAGTATCTTTGGGGGGGGAGGGGAGTGTACCTCCCATTGACAAAGTTGTGTGGGGGGGAGGGCCGGATCTGGCTGAGAGCGGAGAGCTGGCTGATCCATTCATCATCTTGATCTACAGGCCTACACTGCAGGGAGGGACGTACGGGAGGCCCCAGTCATGCAGGCAGGCAAGGTGGGGTAAATGAAAGGTGGCTACGGTATCCCTTATTGAGGTTGGGGGTGTGCGTGTGCGCGTGTGGGGGTTGAGGTTTGACCCACACAGTGGCGCTGTTGGTGGTATATCTTTTTACTACTAGAGGTACTTACTGCTGCTGCGCCGTTTGGGAGTGTGATGGCTCCTGAAGTTGGTGATGGCCCTGCTGGCGCCCTGCTGGCCACCTTTCATTTGCGTGTGTGCGTTCAATTGCTTGTGCTCGCGTTTGCACGTCTGCGTCTGCGTGTGTGCTGTGTCTACATGTGTGTATTGATTGTTGTATGTTGTCAACGGACCTGTGAAGGAAGAGAGTGTGTATTGGATGTATCTCTCATGTGCACACCATGCATACATGCACGACATGTCGTATCGCGGCATGCGTGGTGCTTGCCGTACGGGGCCTTATCGCCTTGTGTCGCCTGTACACGCGTGCTGCCTTGCCATATGTTGTTGCATGTGAGGTGCTGTGGCTGTGGTCTCCACCTCGCGTTGTCAGATCTCAGTAGTGAGCTGGGGTGGTCGTGGGAGAGCTCACCCTGCCGCCACATGCCTCGAGGCACCGGGGCTGGCGTATGTATGTATGTATGTATGTATGTATGTATGTATGTATGTATGTATGTATGTATGTATGTATGTATGTATGTATGTATGTATGTCCCCACTATGCCAACCTTAATCAATAATGGTAATGGTATGAACATATTAATAGTAGTGATGATATCATAGTAATGACGATGATAGTAACGATGATAATGGTACGAATAAAAAATCTAAACGTGGTGATGGCCCTGGCGGTGGTGGTCTTGGTGTTGTGATCGTGGTTGTGACGGCAGTTCCAGTTGTCAGTACTTGGAGTATTTGGAAAAAAGAAATAAAAAAAGAAATACAAAGCAACGATGTGGTGGCAGAGGGGTGTGTATGTGCCTATGGGTGTTTGGTGGCATTTTGGCATTGGCGGCCTGGGATTTGGGGCGGCTGGTCATGGATGTTGGCTGACTTGGTGAGGTGGCTGCGGGCCATACATCTATGCGATGCCGAGGAAATATGGTTTGGAGTTGGTGGCCTGGGGTCCGTGGTCAAGAAGGGCAGGTGTTGGTTGTTGGGGTGGTTTTGTTCCGTGGTGAGGCACTGCGCTGTAGGCTGCGATACGGAGCAGTATCAGAGGAGAAAATGTATTTTGAGCTAGTGCACAGTTGTGTTGGCGTCTGCTGGATTGTGCTGCGTATGAAGGGAGGTGGGACCATCCGCCAAGTGCGAGATGCCCGCTTCTTCGAGTTTGTGGCTTTACACTGCAGTTAGGTATGGTTGCTTTTTCCCTTCTGGTCGGTTGATGCCGGTTGCAGAGTTTGGTGATCTTGGTATTCCCTTCGTCGAAATTCCTTGAAATCTTACTGAAACCAGTTCTTCACAAGGGATCACAACGCTCTAAGGTTGGTATTACAAATATTCACAAGTAGAGCAAAAACTGTGATTGCGCGTCCCAATGTCGTAAGAACCGTCCCTGGAAGCGGATGCGTCATTTAAGAAATTAGGAATCGGGGTTATCCCACAGCTTTCGTTTGCAACAGCAATGACATTTAGATGCATACGACTACAAAGATAAACCCTCCCGCCCAGGCCGCGTCCATCCGTGCAAGGTCCCCCCCTAAACCCGTCAATAAGAACGCGCTCTCCCCCCCGCTTACCTGCGCGGTCCTTAACCTTCTAAAGCCCCTGGCCCCTTGCCAGCGCACCCAGTGCACCGCCAACATCGCTCTACAGGTCAGTGCAGTCAACATTACCAAGGTGGGGGCCAGAGAAATGTGCACCAGACACTCTGCCTTCGTGAAAAGAAGAGGCTTCGCATTAGTCCACAAACCGCCTGGCACTTTCCTCTGAACACACACATTCACCAAAATACGGTGGGTGACGATTCCCGTAATGGAAAAAGTTTTGGCCCTCGCGTATGCTCCATGTCGTACAGTAATGCTGTCGACAGGAGTAATTCCACTGTGACATGCACCAGCCAATGATCGGAACGGAAAGGTGCACAGCGTTGTAAGACAAGGTGCCACTCGTAAACCAGTATGCGGGCAATTTGGCAGTCCGCGGTCCAAAGGACGGGAATAAATCGCTTGAGTGAACGACGTCCCACGACGTCCTTTCTGTGAAACAATGCAACAACAGAGGTGCACACACCACACGATGGACTCCCGGTCATGGTCTGCTGGTTAATGCTGGGTCTGCTAACACCGCAGCTGCTGCAGAAACACACAACCAAAGGAACCGTGCAGCTGTGTCATCACATACACACGACCATGTCACTGGCAGAGAGACATCCTGCACACGTACACTCAGCTACCCTTTCCATTCCCGGCGTTGCTTTTACAGGCCATACAGCTTTCCCACATCCCACTATTTAGTAACACTCACTCCTCACAGATGAAGCACACACATGCGGCCCGACCTTCTTCAAAGCGAGGGCCGTTTCCCACGTGGACCACTCCGTGCTATCACTCCTCAACATGCAAACTACAAAACAACACTTGAACTCTGAACGAAGCGTCTCCTTAACGCCACTCATGCACCGGAACATGAAGGGCTGACGGCTCATGACTCGTCGCCGAAGAGACGACGCAGTTGTGTAAGGCTCATACGATGAAAACTGATGCATCCAGACCTCGAGTTTCTCTATAGAACACGGTACTCGAGAGAGCGGTGCTGCCCCCTCGGGGTCCTCCGCCGCACAAGACACTCAGCTCGGCGCCGCGCACGCGCCACTACTACGACATCCCCTTAGGACCAACACACGCTGTTCTCGCGCAGCAACTGCTCGTCCTCGGACTGTATTGCACGTGCTCCTCAACCAATATCCCTAATAATATACCAGCATGCAACTGCGACTATCGCACAACCGAAGAAAGCCAAATGGCATATGCTGCTCACTCACGCGTACATGGACATCCAAACCTTGCCCCGGGCGCCGCCTTGCCGCCCCGACTGGTTCGCTCCGCTGCCGTACTGCTCGTCCCATTCTGTGTACCTCGCGGTCTGGTCCATCTCCGTACAGCTTATGACCTGGAAAGACATGTCATGGTAAGAGGCCCGTGAGGCGAAACTCGAGTAGTAAAAACACACCCTGGCAACATTCTCGGGAGCCGTAACATAATCTATCTGGCCTACAGGCTACTATCTGCCCTAAGTAGCCTAAACCTACGTGTTTGGCGGCGGGCAGGAATGAGAGGCGGAATGAGAAATGCGTGCAACAGAAGGAGCAGAGATAGGAATAATCTCAGTCCCCGCCCAATGGGGTACCATAACCCACTGAGCCGACCCTCATCCTGTCGTTTGACGTACACGGCCACTACGGTGCTTACAAGCATCGTCATCATCATCAAGACGGTGCAATACGCGCACTCGCCCACCACCCACCACCCTGCACCCCCACCTCCCACCTGCAGGGCCGCCTCCAGGTCCGCCGCGGTGACGGGCCGCACCCGGGTAGCGGGCAGCGCCAACAGCCCCTCCAAGCTCAACGCCGAACCACCTTCCTCAGCTCCCACACGCGAGGACGCAGCGCCGCGGGCTGCAGCGGCCGCGTTACTGCGGGTGGTCGCGGCCGCTGGACCAGGTGCACCGGCAGGGACACAGCTCCCAGCTGCACTGCTCCGGGTGCCCCCTGTAACACCGCGGCTGCTGCTGAGGCGGCGGAGGGCCGCGGAGGCATCAGCCGTTGAAGCAGCAGTAGCAGATGCGGCCTCCGCCGCTGGCGTGTTCGCGACAGCGCATTCTGCAGCTGCTGATTTATTGCCGCCTTCCGTTGCCGAGGCCCCATCTTGGATTTGCAACCGAACCTGTACCGGCGCTCCAGAGGACAAATTTCCCGCCCTGCCGTCCTCCTCCACCGCTGACGCCCGCAACACCTGCAATTGCACCCGGACACACACGTTCCTCGCGGCCTCTTCGGCCTTTGTGGCTTCCGCGGAGATGCAGGTCGCCGGTGGTGCTGCATCCGTTCCAGAGGCGCCCTCCTGCTGCTGCTGCTGCTGCTGTTGCCGTCCTGGATCCGCGTCTCCCTCCCCCTGGCCCTGGCCCTGGTGCTGCTGCTGCTGCTGGTGCTGCTCTCCCGCGTTGGTGCCCTCCGCCGGCGCCTCACCGTCGGCCTTCCCCTCGGGCCTTCCGTCCGCCTGCGGCTGCTCCCCCCTCCCCTTCTCGCTCCCGCTCCTGCTCTCCAGCAGCCCCTCCGCCTGCTCCATGATGAGGTCCACGTTGCACCAGGTGGCGCCGTGACGCCGCTTCCAACGCTCCAACTCGCGGCGGGCCTGAATCAATGGAACCACAGGACAAATAAAGGAGGGGGGACAAACAGTTGGGCGGGAGTCGCATGCAGGGACGGAAATGGGAGCGGCGGGCTCATGCGCACGCACGTACATACACCGCACACACACGCGCAGCAGTAAAAGTAAGCAGCGTTAGCTGTTAGTGTAGCCCATAGCCCTCGAGAGTCCTTTTCCAAGCTCCCAGGACAAATATCTCGCGCACTCACTCTCTGTGCACACATACATGCATACATACATGCATACATACATACATACACGGACACAAATACACACGCACCTGCTTCTTGCTGCGTGCGTAGCGGTTGCCGCCAAAGCCGCCCCACCTAAAGCCAAATCGGTGCAGCCAGCCCGCCGGCGGTGCCATCGGCGGTCCCCCCGGCCGACTACTACTACTACTAGTCGCGGCCGCTGTCGGAATGCCGCCAGTGCCGCTGCGGGACCTCCCGGCCGCCGCTGTCGGTGTCATAGTCGGTCCCCCCCCCGCCTTGCTGGCTGCGGAGACCGCCAGACTGTTGGCCACCAGCTCCACCAGGCGCTGCTGGGCGGCGGCGGTCTGCTGCTGTACGGCGGGTCCACTGCTGTCGCTGTCGTGGGGGGCCGGAGAGCCCTCCAGCAGGCACCTGCCCCAGAGCTCACGAAGCGGCCTCATGGCAGCCTCCCTGCAGGAGGGGTGTCGGGGCCCAGCGTTGTAAAATATGGCGTGTTGTGATGCAAACCGCATGTTGTATTGTGATTTAGGAAATGTAAATGTTAAAGGGAGGCGAAGAATTCGCGGACTGCTGCTCACTGACATGCGGATGCACAATCCATGTGGATGTGACTATTGGGAGAGACTAATGGGCTCTGGGGGAGAGCAAACCAAAAGAGGCCCAACACCAATCGGAACGCGAAGCAACGTACGGGGGAGCACTTGTGAATGGTGAAGCTGCTCCGAGACCCGAGAGACAGGCGGGCGGAGTTTCAGAGCAGCGACGTGCGTGTGTTGTAATGGCTCAAGGTGCGTGTGCACCAACGTCCACAAGCCCTACGTTGGTATGTAACTGACAGCAAGGCAGTAACGCCCCCCAGGGGCCCCCACCAGCCCCACCGCACCTGCAAACCTGCACCAGGTCCCTCCCGCTGTACTTGTCACACCGCTCAGCCAGCCGCTGCCACGCCGAGTCGGACACGTCGCAAGCGATACCCTGAGGGGGAGGGAGGGGAGTAGGAGGAGGGCAGGAGATGGAGGGGCCGGGGGCGACATGGTGCTGCCTGACAGCGGACAGCCCTTGCCCGGAGCTGCTGGAGCTGCTGTCATATCCCCCAACAAGCAGGCAACTCCCCCAAGCAGGCCCAGGAAGCCCCTCGACGGCCTCTTGACGCCACTTCCGGTCTCGCGCGTCCACCAACCCCCACCTGCACCCGCGGCCCAACCCGGACCAACTCCAGGGGGGAGGGGGAGAGAGAGAGAGGGGGCGGAGGAGTGGAGTAGCCATACCTCCCCCCTCCCCCTGCTCTCTCCCAGCCCTTGCACCCACCTCCATAGCCTTCCTCATGAGCGCCTCCCGGGTGCCCCGGTCCGGGAGCGGCACGTAGATGCGCCGGGAGAACCTGGGGTCGACAGCAGGGGTGGGGAGGAGAGAGCGGGCGGGCAGAGCGCTAGAGATATATAACTCAAACGGCCCCCCCGGGGGTTAAACAGCCATCCAACCGACATCCAGCGCACCGCTGACAGACTCCTCACGGGGGACGGGCACCCCCCTCCCTGCACCCGGGCCCCCCGGGCCCCCCACCTGCTGAGAGCCGCCTCGTCCAGGTCCCAGGGGGTGTTGGTGGCCGCAATGACCACAATGCGGTTGTCCCCACCATCACCTCCCCCACCGGGCCCCTGCTGGGCCTGCTGTGTCTGTATGCCGTCAATGAAGGCCAGGAACTCGTTGGTGACCCGCTTGTCCGGAGTGGAGTCCCGGGGGCCTCCGGAGCTGCGCTTACCCAGCAGCGAGTCGACCTGTGCGGAGCGGGGGGGGGCGGGGAGTCAGAGGAGAGTAGTGGAGGAAGGGAGAGGAGGGGTAACGCAGCGCAGTACTCGGCAGCCCCACTGGTCAACCGGTCCCCCGAGCGTAAGAGACAGGGAGGGAAGGAGGGAGGGAGAGAGGGAGGGCCCAGGGGCGGGGTCGGGTGGCGCGGACTCGGGGAAGAAGGACAGAGGAAAAAAAGATGTTATCGCGGGGGTTGGTCTCCAGGGAGGGAACCAATTTCAACAAGGAATACAGGAAAAAACAGGTGCCGAGGAATACAAGGCGTGGAGACAAGCCGGGATAGAGCGGATTCTGACGAGGTGGACATGGGAGGCCCATTGCCCAGGGGATCGCGTGCAATTACCCGGTCCGGTCAACCCAGTCTGAGGTTTCCCGCCTCGTCCCCTTCCCTTTCCTTCCCTCCATCCCCACCTCGTCAATGAATATGATAGCGGGCTGCCTCTTCCTCGCCTTCTCAAACAGCGCCTTGACGTTCTGCTCGCTCTGACCGTACCACATCGACAACACACTGCTGCCTGTGGCAGGGATGCGATGCAGGGTCGAGGGGGGGAGGTTAAGATGGTGCCGGCGCGGCGCGGTACGGTGTTCACGCCCATGCAATGTCGCCCATACACTGCGGGCGGTAGCCCCAAGTGGCGGATAAGCAGCAGCACCGCTGGCCTACCGCTGGCCTACCCGCAGTGCTGGAGACCTGAGGCGCGACAGCATGATGCCCCTCGGGACCCCCTTCGTGCAGTGTTATGCCGCGGAGAGGCTGCACCCTCGGGAGACGTCCCCCCTAGCAACGCAGAGATCTCCCCACGGATACTGAACCCGCTTGAAGCCCATCGGGGTGATCTTCGAGGAGCTGTATCCGGGGCCAGGGGGTTAGAGCTCCCTCTCGGGCTCACTGTGCAATACTACACCTCTAAGAGAGGCCACGGCAGGACGTCAGGCCGCCACCCGGCTGAGCCGCACCGCCAACAGCCTGAGGCTCGTGTGACGCCCTGACGAGCAAGCGGTCAGGCGGGGTTGCAGCACCCGCCAACACACATCCACACCCACTCGCCTGTCACCGGCAGGAAGGTGGCTCGGCTCTCGGTCGCTACCGCACGCGCCAGCAGCGTCTTCCCAGTTCCCGGAGGTCCAAACAGCAGCAGGGCCTTGGGCGGCTGCCGGATGCCCTGCAGCGGTTGGAGCAGGGCACACAAGGCGGGAGGGCAACGCGGGCTGGTGAGGGACAGACAGCAGCAAGCCGCCTGCCCGGGCTCCAGGGTGGGGCCTCAGGGAGCCGCGGGACTGTTCAGGTGCCAGATTAGGCACTTACAAACCCAATCCAAACACCTTCTCAACCCCAGGCGCCTATTGTGACGTCCCCTTGAGACACGTGGGGCATGTACGGACATAAGAGACATACGGACATACACAGCTGCTGCCAGCTGCACGGGTGCGCCCAGGTCTGCACGCACTGACCTGGAAGAGGTCGGGTCGCAGTGTTGGCAGCACAGTCGCTTCCTGCGCACAGAGCGGGGAGTACCACACGGGGAGTACCGCACGAGGAGGGAGAAGGGAGTAGGGAGGAAGGCAAGTTAAGGGGAAGGGAGGGGAAGGGGAGGGCAAGGGAGGCAGAGGTGAGATGAGGTACGGGATTGCCTACCCATGGATTGCCAAACCCCAAGGCAAAAGGGCATCAATGAATCTCTGACGCCCCACTTGTCAACGTCATGAGCAGCAACCAAACAGAGCGGAGTAAGTGCATACACCAGTGAGCACCTGACGGCTTTTTGAGAGCAGGGGGAAGCACCGCTCCTTTAAAACTTGGCTTGCGCAATGAACGATCATGACCTCGAGAATAATCGCATTCCTTTGACCCCCTGACGTCACACTCGCTTAGGGGGAGCTTCAGTTGGCAAGCCTTTCAAGGACCGAAGAAAGCTCTCGTACGACGAATGTACGAACCTGTAGCAACATCTTGACTTCCAAAAGGCCTGATATGGACGACCATGTCGTTTCTGCGTTAAGCAGGAAAGCACATAACGGCACACACATGCACGGTGTTGCTTTATGGCTCTAACGTAATCATTCCTACCTTCGGTTTACGACACACACACACACCCTAATAAAAGGTGACCGGAGCTCTGCCCAGCACCAGCACCAAGGACCCCGGCAGCCATCCTCCCCTTCACTTTCCAGCACATACTCACCACACCGCACCTCACCTTCTCTTCGCTTCCGACACGGTGCAATCCCTGACCCCGGACAGTGCCCTCCCAGGGTCATACCGCACCCCCCACATGGCCCCCTTAGGGACCCACATCCCACCCGGCCCGGGTGCACCCCCTGGCTGGCGGCATCAGGTGGCGGGAGCCGCCACTACAAGGCAGCGTCTTCCCCACCAACCTGCCTGCCACCCAACCCAGCCGCTCCATCCCATCCCACCCTCGTGACAACCACCACCTGCTGCTGCTGACCCACCCTTCCGCATCAGAGCCGGTGAGGGCCCAGCATCGGAAGTGGCGGTGTGTGCGGTGGTTGAGTTGTTCAAATGTGCAGTACCCGCCAGGTTCCCATTTCCACTGGAGAGGGCGGCAGCTGCGGCCGCCACGTTCGCGTTCGCCGTCCCTTGTTGCTCCTGGTGCCGCTCCTGTGCAGTTGCGGTTCCTCGGTTCCCGGCCCCCAGCAGCTCGCTTAGCTCGTTCAGGTGCAGGTCCAGTTGCCGCGCCGGGGAACCCGAACAGGACGAGTTCTGACGGCCGCAACCTCCTCGGGTATGAGCTTTGCGAGGAGCCTGGTAATCATGGTGATGATGAAGAGGAGGAGGAGGAGAGCACGACGGGACATCCAGCAGCAGCGGCAGCAGTTCAGGTTCAGGTGCCGGACAATCAGGAAGCAGCGGGTGCCTGGTCGGTTGTGGTAAGCAGGGGTCTGGGGTTTTGAGACATCATGTGAGCAGGTGTGAGGCAGCCTGCCGTGCGTGTTGGGTCCCTCTTGTACAGCCTGACTGGCTTGACTGCTTTGTACTGTTCTGTCGGTGGTATGTGGAGGGTAGGGTAGGGTAGGGTAGGGTAGTGTGGCTGGCCTTCCCTCGGGAATGAGCGGGGCCTTTCTGGAGTTAAGAGCCATGTGGATCACCATGTGGGTCAACAACCCACATACGCGGATGGAGAGGGGGATACGAGCCGCAACCGAGGCTCGAATGGCAAAGTGTGTGCAATGCGGGAGGGGACGTCATCGACCGAGGGTAAGAGCAGCCAGAGCTGCTACTGGGTCAATGCGGGCAGCAACCCATGCGGTTGCACATATGCCGTATTTTCACATATATTTTCATAACGTATAAGACGACGGCATGTAGAAGGACTCTGCCAACGTCTAGCGAGGTGCCCCTGTGCTCTTACCCCATCGCCACTTCCTGCGTCCAGGCCGCCTGCAGCGTCCGTCAGCGAGCCCACGAGGGTGGAAAGTTCACGCCGGAGAAGGCGAATGAACTTGATGTCCTCCCACAGTTTCTGGATGGTCAAGACGGTGATGCACAGGGCACCAATAGCCTGAAGCCCACTCCAGGCGGAAGCAATGTCCACCGGTAAGTCGCGCTGGGGCTCCTGTTTTATGTAAACATTGTAGTCCTTGTCTAAGTTGGAGCTGCGGATGTCCACCACGATGCGGCTTTGTGGATTTGATTGGGGAGCTGTGTAACGCGCAACGGCCATCTTTGGCACATCGGCCGGAGGTAGGGCTGACTGGTCCCGTTCTCGCCCGCCCGGCATCTCAGCGGCTGCGCCTCGCACTTTGCTTGACGGAAACCCCTGCTGCCTCTCAGATGTTGTTGACGTATTGTTCCCTGTAACATTCACAATTACCCAGACCTGAACCACATACGTCAAGCAACTTAACAATCTAGGACTAAGGAAGAGGACGGTAAGTGCGCGTGCTCAAGGTTAATAGCTTACCCATTAAAGACCGTGGTTGCACATTCCGAATGATACTTCGTTGTCGCTCCTACCATCTAACAGTCTCCTCCATCATGGTTCAATCACAACTGACGCATATCACGGCATCAAAAACAAGACCTTTTGATGAGTTTATCGAGAAATCGCTTTTGGTAAAAGCCGTGTCTAGCAATCGTAGAGCCGGGAAAACGAGAAAAGAGGCTGCAAGCTGTGCCTGCAATGTTCCACATAAATAAAAGGTTACCAAGACAATGCAACGCGCCTCAATTATGCGAAATCGCGCAAGAAACTGCGACATAGAGAAGATGCACGGCGGTTGTCCCGTACGTTGGAACAACTGACAACTCAGACCGTTCCAATTGATGACTCCTGCAAAGCTTCAACATGACTTGTTAGGTTTTCTTATTATTTCATAGCTGCGGTGCATGTAGCTCGTCACAAATAGCGGAACGCACATGGAGAATGTGCAACTTCCTACGAGTCGCATCGATATGTGTTTTGATTTGCTCCAACCACAGGCATGCCGATAGTAATCAACCAATCTAATAATATAATTGTGCAAAATCAATTCACGATTACTGATTGCATGTTAGGCTGGCCAGTCCTGCCACGCTAACGGTAGTGTTCGGGCCGGAACTGTAACGCTTTGCGACTTTTGACCTCTTCTGCGGAACCTCGCGAAACTGCCGGAAACCGCCGCAAACATTACACTGCTGCAATTCATGACGTCGATGCGTATCAAACGGTTTGTATGGGCCTTTCACGCCGATGCAGATGCATGGAGACCCCCGAGCGCTCTCAGGCACCCATGATCACTCAATTGTTACCCGCCTAAGGTGTAGAGCTGTACTACCTGCAGCCTCAGGTGTCCTTTTTGCGCCAGTTGCGCCGCTGGTAGTAATAAAAGGCTAAGGGGACACGTAATAACCAGAGGGTTAGCTGATTGGACTATGTGGTACCGAGGGTATGGATAGGGGCAACCACAAGCACTCTTTTATTTGAAGCCTCTAAGCTCCTTGAAACAACGCCAAGATAAGGGGTTAGTTCTGCTATACACAACCCTCACAGGCCAACTCTTGATGCCTGATATGCACTGATTTTTTTCGTTTAGGACGGGTGTAAATTTATTCCAACCTAAGTAAGTCGTAATTTATTCCTTAAGTGTGAGACGCTAAGGGGGCTCCGCCCCCCAGGAACCCACCCCATGAGTTACAACTCCCCTCGTAGACCAAGAGTCACGCACTGAGTTGGCGCGTTTTCGAACAGTGCACACACTCTTCATGCACATGCGTAGATAGTTCTGGCACTGTTTGTGAGCAGTAAGTAAAATCGACCAAGCAACGGCCATTGCATAGCAAAACACTGGCCGTCACCCGCCGCTGCAAACCGCAGCGCACTTGGACTTAGGGTTTTTAAACCCTAAAACCCTTCTTATGGCCCCTCATATCTATTCTATGGTTGCAAATACTAAAGTTCTGCACACTACGGAGCTATCTGGCGGCAATGGACGCTTTTGGCTGGAGGAATGAAAATGTACGGGTCGGCCTCAATTTATTCCTTTTTTCCAAAGGCCAAAATGCTGATTATTCCTTATTCGTAATATCAAAAAACGCTGCCGATATGTTCCCATGCAACATACCTCCATGCCCATTCCCTCCTATGCCCAATTCGTCTCTCGGTGTTTAATACCTATCAAGTCTAATTCCTCCTGAACTCCCTCCCAAGAACATTCATTTTTGCGCGGGGCCCCAGCGCGAAGCGCCCAGGGGGCCCCCGCCCTGTAGGATTGCCCACGTCCGTGTGGCCGTGTGGCTGTGTGGCCGTGTGGCCGTGTGGCCGTGTGTGTGTATGTGTGTAACGGACCAAACATAATACCTCGCCCGGCTGAAACGCGTTATTGGTAATATATCGCATTCTTTATTGCAAGGTATCTCGCCTGTAGCCAAAAGAAATCGTATGATTCACAAACAAGTTTGGCTGCCTCCATTGACCGAGGTCAAAGTCACATCAGCACCCCTCAGGGAAAATTTAATCTCAAAAGGTGCCGCATATCTCAAAGTTGAATTCTGAAATGAGGACGTACGAGAACTTGAATACCCAGCTTGCATTACCATTTGCCTGCACGGGCATTCCGACTTGCCACCAGCAGGCTGACAAATTTGCTATCATTTCTCTATGAAGTACACAAGCTGCTCGTTTGTACAATTACTTTGGCCAATGCTCGGGGCCTCTGAAGACTTGCAATGTGCCACGATGAAGCTCGCGGCTGTGGGTGTGGTATCCTGGGTATACAGGATCTGACATCCGCCGATAGGTTATTTGCTGAAGACGTGATACAACAGTGGGGGGATTGCTAAAGCCGCTGGCGCTTCAGGGATAAACATCACAGACAGCACCGGAAAGTGGGTGGTGACACGTGAGCGCCGCGGCTACTAGGATAGTGGACACAGCGCGCCTGGCTACTGCACTAGTAGAATGCCGCGGGTGCTGACACGTCAGCGCCGCGGCTACTAGGATAGTGGACACAGCGCGCCTGGCTACTGCACTAGTAGAATGCCGCGGGTGCTGACACGTCAGCCCCGCGTCTACTAGGATAGTGGACACAGCGCGCCTGGCTACTGCACTAGTAGAATGCCGCGGGTGGTGAGCGAATCTCAGCAGCTTCAGGGGAAGAGCGAATCTCAAGAGCTCCATGAATGCCTAGAAAAATTGGAGTTTCTGCGCAGCAGCCATAGTAAATCGCATCAGAGCCTGGAACAGCTCTGCAGCATGGTCGGCAGCCTCATATCCCTCGTGGTTGAGCTGGACGCCGATCAGTTTGACGTGCTGCACCATGAGCTGCGGAAGCAAATCGTGCTGTCGGGAACGCGGGACCATGTCACCGAGATTAGGCTTTTCGCCTATTATGACATGGTCGACCGCGACCCTGCATTGAAGCAAAAGTACTCGTCGCTCTCCACCTTCCTCGACGCCCTGCATCAGGAGTACACTGATTTTGTCAACGGGCGCCTTCGGACGCGGCCATTGAACTCGGCGTTTGGGGAGGCGGTTCAGCGCCTCGGGCTCAGCAACACGGAGTGGCAGCTGGTTAAGACACTCAACAAGGACAGCGTGGCATTGTTCCACAAGAAGTTTACGATCGAGGAGCTAGAGACCGAGGTCTTCCCAGCAGACCTCGAGCCGTGCCGGGGAGCCCTCGTGAGGGCAGCTCGCATGGTTAACAAGCGACGCAATGCCATGGCTGCTGGGCCCCAGGCACCCTCGGATGATGATAACTGGGCCTAGGTAAGGCTTTTTGTGACCCTAGCTTTACACCTTCACACCGCCACCCACCTACTCCTTGCACATGTTGGGCTGCTGGTCCCCCGCCTTCCTCAGCACCACCTCATAACACACCCCACCCCCATCCATCCTCTGTCCCTTGCGCCTCTCCATGCCCTTCATGTCTCCATCTCTTTGCCTGTGGCCTATTGCCTACACCATGCCCCCTTGCCCCACCCATATCCATCTTTCTGCTCTTGTCCCATTATACCTTGCCCCCTTGCCTATGCCCCTTGCCCTGTGACACCCCCATTGGCAAAGACAGCAGAGGAGGATCCAATATAGGAATGGTGCAGAATCAGGCAGCAGCCAGGACCAGCAGCCACTTGGTGTCCGACAATGATGACCGGAAGTCTTTGATGCTATGGCTTGTGCTTGCAGGCTACAGGGTGTCTTGCAGTGGGCAGGCTCATGCAAATGCAGTCCTGCATGTAGTCAACAGGCCCCACATAGGTGTGGATGGAGTTCCTCCTCCCCCAGAATATGCAGCATGTGTGATATTTCGACGGGATGGACAACACTTCAGAAGGGTTTATGGTGCTGAGAAGCGGATTGGTTTGGCTGTTTTTTTTAAGTACAAGTCTGAGAAGCAGGTTGGATTGGCTGTTTTTTTACATATAAGTCAGAGTATTCATGAGAGCTCATGGTGTGGTGTGGAAGGGTGATGTGATGAGTGGTGTGGATCTTGACTCAAACTGGCAACTTCTCAAATGAGTTTCCAATGTCATAATCTCCTTTGCACATCTGAAAAGCTTGACCTTTCCATTGGACTCGTGAATGCACGAATGAACGAACAAACAGGGGTTCTATCTGTAGCCCTTCAGAAAGGAGAGCAAGGAGAAAGACAGAAACACTGTGTTTCTGCCTTTCTTTCCTTGCTCTCACTTTCTTCAGGAATAATTCTTGTTAATCACCCTTGCTGCTGGCATCGTTTTTCATGGATGCTAAAACATATTCTTTGTGCTTTCGATGTGGTGTATTGATTGGTGTTTGTCTGCTGCCGCAGTTTGCAGACATGTCTGCTTCGGTGTGTCCTGCACTTGATTTCTACTTCGCGCGTGCTCCATAAATAACATTTCAAAAACGCCTTGATAGCTCTCACTGCGACGGTCTTATTTCAATTGTTTATTTTGTCACCGGCGAGGTGAACTCGGCCTTGGGGCGTACTTTATTACTATACGACAAAGCGGGGTTAGTAGTTCGTTGTGCTCTTTCTTCTGCTGCGTGACAGCACATGCAAACATGTAAACCTGTATAAAATATATAGATTACTACATACAAATGGTCTGTTGCTTAAAATGATGTTTCTTGAAACAAAAGAGATATAAAAACAAGAGAGGGCGCGGTTGAGATGCACAAAAGTTGGATGACGCTTGTGCGCGTAATACGCTTTGAACCCCTGCCTGCCGATCCCCGGACACCCGCGTCCTGCAACTACTCGCCTCACAGCACGGGGCACACGATGCCTGTGGCCCGGAACCATAGCTATATGTAGGGCACTAAGCTCCTAAATCGCCCTTACTGCTGGCGTGTCCTTTCAAGGACGCTAAAGCTGTTTCTTTGTGCTTTTGTTGTGGTGTATTCATTGGTGTTTGTCTCGTTCCATGGTTCGTGTGCATTAGACACATGTCTGTTTCTGCTTCTTCGCGGCTTGATTTCTATTTCGCGCCTGCTCCATAAATAAAATTTTAAAAACGTCCTGATATCTCTCGCTGTGACGGTCTCATTTCAATTGTCTGTTTGTCGTCGGCGAGCGGTGAGAAGTTGTTGTGGGAGGGGCGGCGCACTTTATTACTAATAATGACGTATAGTACGACGAAGCACACTTGAGCAGCATCGTTGTTGTTGTGTACCGATTATTATTTTGTTGTTGTTACATTCATTATTGTTGAAAAGTATTCAAGTAATATATGTAATGCATGTGCCGCAGAACAACATGATGATGAATGATGATGATGCTATGTGCCCGCTTCCGCTCCCGTACTTATACTTATTACTTTTCTTATTACTACTAATTGTAAAAACTTTGAGCGACTCTTCCCGGCAAAATTTTAATAACGATGACGACGACGACGACGACGTCGAGGATTGACGACCAGACCCCCACCAGCGAGCGCGATCGCATCGCATATTCTTATTCTTATTCTTATTCTTATCCTTATTCTTGTTCTGATCACAGAGCACAGCAGAGGCGGCACAGTAAAGTTTTAGTGGTGGTGGATCATCGGCGGGTTGGCACGCTTGTTGTTGGTATATATACCGTTAGGGTTATTATTATTATTACTTTACATATGTGCCAAATCGTGCCAAGTAGATACAGCAGCATTGTTTGATTGTGTTGGTGTAGATATGCATATAGAGAGAGATCCGTGAGTGTCCGACGAGAAGGGAAAAGGGAGCATACACAACAACAACAACAATATGTACAACTACTACGTGGGTGCATCATCGCCACACCGTCGTGCATGCGCGTGTCCCATAATATCCACATACCCGCGGAGCCATCATATGCTGCTGCATATGTGTACTACTACTAATTATAAAGTAGTATCACGTACAGTACGACATGTACAACAACAACCCAACAGACAGACCAACAACATACATCGCAAGTGCAGTGCGCGGATATACATACATACATACATACATACACACACCCACAGTCTAAGAATTTAATAAAAACTCTCCCACAGTCTCCCTCGACAGTCATCCGACAGTCATCCGCTCAGTCTCGCCGTCTGTATCTGTATCTGCTGTCCCCATCGCCATCGTCTCCCTGTGCCTGTCCCTCCCTCCACATATGTATGTTCTCTAGGTATATAATATCCTTGTACGACAGAGTGTGCACGTGTGCCGTCATCAACGTACATAAGGTACAGCATACGTGTCTGCACCACATATATACATATGTACGTGTGCACATCTCCGAGCAGCCCTGTGCATGGTCTCCGCTTGATAATAGATGAGGTTGTTATCATCACCTAGTTCATACGGCAGGCGGCTGGCAGAAGTTAAGGCCTGACTTCTGCTCCCAGTCGATCCAGTCGACCCGGGTTCAAATCCGCCTGCCAGCTCCTCGGGTGTTTGAGGAGTGATGAAATGGGAGGTGGCCCCCCATCATATGGACGGTGTAGGACGTGATAATATCAACTTGCGAGCTGACCAGGAACTAAGTTGATGCGCCGTTGATCCGCTAGATTTGGTTGGATGCTGGTGGTGAGTTGCCGAACCCAACGAATACATTCTGAAGTCGGATGGGGTGACGGATTAGGGTGCCCCTCTAGCAGGGGAGAGCAGGGACTGCCCCAGGAAAGGGGGCCGCTGGCGAAGTTAACCACCCTGTAACAACATACATACATACAAAATGCATACATACCCTGCTCTGTGAAGATGACAAAACAGAGGTATAGGTACTACTACTACTACTACTACTACTACTACTACTACTACTACTACTACTACTACTACTACTACTACTACTACTACTACTACTACTACTACCACTACTATCTGGATTCATTTGCTTGGGTGGCTGGCAATAATAATTATATATTTTAAAGTTACTCTGCTGCGGCCGCCATATGTATTATATAGCATCATGGAGGGATGTTTATAGCTTCATTCAGGGTTCATTACTATCATTGC